AGAAAATGATCACTTTCATTGTCTGGTGATAAGAAAACTAAGTGGGGTTATCGATGTGTCCCCATGAAAGTATGTGCTGCCTGCCATAGGGTCCCACCTATTGGACCATCCCACCAATGCACACGCATCCACATTGATGGTGATCCTTCTGAGGACTGGTTTCTTTAACACTATCTGCCATACGATTTTATGTTACATAATATGCTATATAATAATAATGAATTTAGAAAGTCACACATACATACTTATTTTATGAATTGCCTTGTGTGTGTACACCTATTTCTCATTCAAAACACTAAACTAGCAAAATGACTATCTGTGCTTTTCAAAAATGTCATTGTCATAAAGTGCAAAGCACCAAGGAATTGTTCCTCATTAGAGACTGTTGGCAACTGTGCAATGTGTCTCAGACTGGATTGGACCCTGGAGTTGGGGGTGGGATGGCCGTGGTTCCTGTTACACAGAAATTATTAGAGCAACTGGCAAAGTTTGAAGGTAGACTGTGTATTAGAGGATCGTATTGTAGCAAAAATTTCTTGAATTTCACCACTGCATTGTGGTTATATGAGAATGTCCTTTTTTTTTTTTTTTAAGATTTTTTATGTATTTGACAGTGAGAGAGGGAACACAAGCAGGGGGAGTGGGAGGGGGAGAAGCAGGCTCCCTGCAGCAGGGAGCCCGATGCAGGGCTCGTTGCAGCACCCTGGGATCATAACCTGAGCCGAAGGCAGACGCGTAATGACTGAGTCACCCAGGCACCCCAAGAGAATGTCTTTTTTTTGAAAAAAAAAAACAAAAAAACACATGCTAACGTATTCATACTTAAAGGGGCATGATATCTACAATCCACTCTTAAAGGTTCCAGAAAAAAAAAAAAAAAGATATAAAGCATAGGTGGCCAAGTGTTAACGATCAGTGAATCTAAATGGAGGGTTTACAGAACTTCATTGTATTACTCTTACAATTCTTCTGTATGCGAGTTTAAAAATAAAAATAAACTAGGGGCGTCTGGGTGGCGCCATTGGTTGAGCGTCTGACTGTTGGTTTTGGCTCAGGTTGAAGAGATTGAGCCCCACATCAGACTCCCTGCTCAGCGTGGAGTCTGCTTGAGATTCTCTCTCTCCCTCTGCCCCTCCCGCTCATGCTCTCGCTCTGTCTCTCAAATAAATAAATAAATCTTGAAAAAAAGGTAAAATAAACAAAAATTGTTTACATGAGTGTAATAAAATGAACTTTTCAGCTCTCCAGGTAACTGTACATGAAAGCTGCCTGTGCCTGGTTTGCTGCTGTGTTCACAGTACCCGTCACAGAGCGGATGCTCAATGAATGTTAGTGGAATGCAGAAAGAAGTAACAGGGAGCACAACGACATTATTCTGCCCCCACGACAGCCCTTACTTTCTTCCTTTAGAATCTCAGCAGCATGACCTACCCAGGAATCTGTTGAACAGTTTCGCTCTAGGCAAGCCCTGTTAATCATTCCGTGACATCATCCCGGCCTCACTGGTTCCAAATCTTGGAAACACTTTCCCCAAACTGACCCCCTTCTTTCATCCCAGAAAATACTGTCAAGATGATCTGAAGGTGTTGGAATGAACCAAAGACCAACTCTGTCAAATAGTCACAATCAGAAACCCTACACGTTTGTGATGCCCCCATTATCTTCCAGATATCACAAATCATTCCTTGACATTGGAGGGTACTAAGAACAGTTTTGTTAAATGAATGAAAACAGAAACCATGGTTATCTCTGACGTTAGATTCTATGGGTCTGAAACTTCTTAGAATGCACGTAGCAGATAACTGACATTTCATTATCTTTAGTGGCATTAAACTGGAAAGTAAACAGGATTGAAAAAGCAAAGGGGGAGAAAAACGCGTATCCCCACGAACTGCATGACCACGTGGCCACGTAAGCCTTCAGCCAAGCTGACTTCAGTGTCTTATGGGGAGATAGCAGCACAGAGTGGAAAGACATGGGTTTTTGAAGTGAGCCAGATTTTGGCTCAAATCCCAGCACCTCCATGAACAACCTGCGTGATTTTGGGCAACTCACATAATTTCTCTGAGGGCTGGTTCCATTAGCTAAAGAACAGGGATAGTAATACCTTCCTTATATTATTAGGCCGCCATGAAGACTCATAATTGCCAACTACCATAGAAGTCTTGGTTCAGTGAATGGGCGGCTCTTATTGTTTTCCCTAAGAGGGTGCAGGAACCGTGTCTGAGGGGATTTTAATCACATTTCTTCCACTAAACACAGAGCTCCCTAAAGGCCTGGTAACCACAAATGAAGCCTTAACTCAAGGACAGTAGAGTCTTTGAAGGGAATAGAATTAAAGTAGGGTCTGTGCTTTCATGATGGGGTACAAAGAAGCTATTAGTCAACTCAGCAAATATGTGCTCTGTAAATCAGCTCAGCACATTCGAAGAGACCACTCGGAAGCAGCAAGCAGCTGAGTTCAGGTCTGAGGGGGAGCTTAAAACATAGAGTGTCTACCTGTGCCATGCAAGCCAGGAGAAGCCTTCAGGGAATCAATGACTGCCCCCTAGAGGTGTTCCCAGCCAGCTAACTAGGATTATCGACTGCCAGGTCTACTTCACATGAATTTTCAGAAAGTCCATGGGCATAGCAAGATTTGGAGCATCTAGGAGAGGTTGCTGTGTGGGCTGTGTTACTGGATGGGTGTGGAAGGAGGAAGACTAGAAATCTAATACTCTTCCTATATATAGGTTCAAATCCTCTGCCCGTATTTCATACATTTCTTTCTTTTTTTTTTTAAGTCATTAACTCTTCCTACTTTTATTAGCTGTGATTCTTTCATAAAGAAGAACTTTCATCAATTATTTGGTTACCCTGAGAAACAGTCTAAATAGGAAAGAAAGGATAAATGCTTCATTCTTTTCTTCTATGTATTAATTTCAAAACGAGTTGGCATTCTAATCTTCAAAAACATTAATGATGGCATAAAATTATCATTATATTCTTTCTTATCGGGGAAGGGAGCAGCATTGCAGGTTATGTGGTTTGGGATCCATCCAAGTAGGCATGGGTTTAAATTCTGGGTCTGCCATATAGTGACGATGTGAATTTTGGGAAGTTAATTTCCCAGAGCTCACTCGGTTTCCTCATCTATAAACAGTAAGTTTCATTTTGCAGTTTTGCTGCAAGGATTCAATGAGCTAATGCATGCAACAGGCCCTTCACATAGTGGTTACTCAATGAATCTTAGCTCTCCCAGACACTTGACTACTATGGGGATTGAGAGAAACCTTTCTTTCCTCCCAGCTGAAACCCAAGATCGTCTTGGCTTATTGAAGCATGAAAACACCAGGGTGACCCATTTATAAGCTTGGTGTGCCCTGGGGCACTGAGACTAAGGAATCACCATGCATGGTATCTGCCTCTGCCCGGAGGGCTGCAGCCCCGCCTGCCCATGAACTGGGGCTGGCAGTAAGCGGATGCTCTCCCAGTGTAAGTTCTGGGAATTCATGCCTTGGGCTCCGCAGACCTCAGCCTCCCCTGGGTTGGCAGCCTCTGAGTTGAACTTGGCCATTAGCCAGCATCTGAGCTCTAACCTTCAGTGAGACCAGCTTCTTTGTGTCAGGCACCTGTCTTTGGGGAAGTAAGATTTTCTCCTGTTGGTATGGAGAGTCAGTTTCTGGCTTTAATAAATTCAGTGTAGGGGCACCTGGGTGGCTCAGTTGGTGAAGCGTCTGCCTTCAGCTCAGGTCATGATCCCAGGGTTCTGGGATCGAGTCCCACACCAAGCTCCCTGCTCAGTGGGGAGTCTGCTTCTCTCCCTCTCCCTGCTTGTGCTCTTGCTCTCTCTCTGGCAAATAAATTAAAAAAAATCTAAAAAAATAAAAATAAAATAAACTCAGGGTACATGAAGCTACATTGTCCTCCAATGTATACCTGTTGTCTCAAAGTACTTAGCACCTACTCTTACTCTCAGATGTGACCCAGTCTGTATGGTAAGTTATATGGTCAAGACTCTACCCATAGAAGGGCAAGTGAAAGCAAGGTGGCTGGGCAGGATTCAGGGGCTGTAAAACATGTAAAAAATAAAAGGCTTAAGGGATTAAAAATTGATATTTAACATCAAGGAACCAGTACTACCGGTACATTTCCACTTGGCTCAAGTAGCTGGTAGTGACTGATTAAAAGTTACATCTATTAACAATGGTCTTCTCTAGAAAAGATGATTTTTGAGTGAGTGAGAGAGAGTGTGTGTGTGTGTGTATGTGTGTGTGTGTACACAGGGAAGAGAAAAAGGCATCGGCATGCTGGTAAATGTTTAACAACAGCTCTTGGAGTGGTGAGGGTGCCCTGATTTGTGGTTTTCTGATTGCCACGGCGTAAATACTTCCATCATGGCCAATTTCAGCGTACAAATGTGAAGCTCAGAACACAAGAGTAGGAAAGAGATGCACACGGTAAGTCAGTCCTGTGCGTTGGCAGGAGCCGGCTCTCACGCACCCATGGAGAAAGGGACTTTAACACATACTCTGAATACTTTTGTGATGTTTTACTTTTTGCAGTATTCGTGTATTAATTTTGTGATGTACATGCCACATATATGCTATATATATATGTATATATATATACACACATACATGTACACACACAGAAATTTATCTGCATCTGTGTGAGGATTAGTCCAAATAATTGTTTTCCTAAGTTTTTTTAAAAAATACATCTAAGTGAAATCTCCACTAGAGCACATAACACGTGGGAGGGGCTCAGAAGTCAGAGCGCTCTGGGGTGTCACGTGACCACCAGGACAGGGGCTGGGGGCTCGCTTTGCTAGTGATTACCACGATTTAGCTTGCTAGCATCTGGGATAGAGAACGTCTAGCTTCCGTGCTGAGACCAAAGCCGGACAGAGACTCTGAAGATGCTTTGAGGGTGAGAGCGTAAAGCGAGATCTAACCTCAGAAGAGGAGGAAAGAAGGGTAAGGTTCAAAGGATGAGAAAAACAAAACGGGAGAACAGAAAAGTGTAAGGTCGCCGTTTATGGATCTTGCTCACTACACTGGCGTGTGTCTCGGCAGCTTCTTACAGGAGTGGGAGGGAGCGGGGAAGACACAGTCCGGACTTTCGTTTATTGAATGCAGCGTTCGCTGGTCACATTGCAACTCAATACAAACAGCCCCGCCGAGAGTAGGGCGTGGACTCTTGTTCTCATCAATGTAAACACAACATTAATATTGAAGACTCAAGAAAATGGGTAAAAAGTCCAGTGTCTCCTCAATCCATGTAATGGTAAAGGTGCTTGTCTACCCTCTGCACAGGTCCCAGAGGGAGCCTGAGGCCGTGACCGCAGGGAAGTGGCACGGACACAGAGGAACCCAACACGTTCTTCCCGATGGTCTCCAGACAGACACGTGGATCTTCAGAATCTGTGTGAACTACAAGCTTGTGTGAACTACTGCAGTTCTTCTAAAGGCCTGAGAGGTCTGTACCTTCCGTGTGCACCAGAACAGTCCCTTCTGAGCCCTTTCCCCATGAACCAGTCACAGCCAATAGCAAATGTGACAGTCTTCGTATTTCTACCGTCTCCGTCTTAGCCCCTGGATTCTGGAGAGTAGGGGAGTCAAGGTCATGGGGGCCTCAGGGATAATCCTGAAGAAGGCTGCCCATGTTTAAATATTGGCCGAAGACTCTCATACTCCTTGCTGGGCCACTGATGGCGGGGGCATGCTGGATGGGGCAGCGGATTCTCCTTCAGAGCCTTAAACGATCAGGTTTTCTATTTTGGATTCCCAGACCAAAAACAAACAAACAAACAAAATCCCCCTAAACAAAAACAAATCAAAGCAAAACAAGAGTGTCCTTGAGGATAAGGAACCAACCGGCCCCCACCTCCAGGTCCCACCTGGTATAATATCCTCATTGGGTTTTTCCAAATGGTTGGTTCAGATCATTGGTTTGCCTCCCACCTTGGATACACAGCTAGATTGCAGGACAAAAAAAGAAAGTTTCCTCTGAATGAAGAGACAGTTTTGCTTTTATTTCCTGGGATGGCTAACCCCCAGCACCCTGACTTCCCTTTCTTAAAAAGCAATGAGAACGTCCTAAAGACCTGCTTGGTTTTGCGGCTTTGTGGTCGGATAACCCCTTTGCTCCCTCTGACTCCTCTGTGTCCCGTCCTTGAAGAGACTGTGTCGACGAGCTGTTCTTCCACATTCTGGGAGAGCCAGATTGTGGAGCAGAGAGGCGCTGGCCGGATCCTTGTCCCAGATCTCTGTAGTGTGGGCGGCTTTGTTGGGCCAAAGAGCCAAGTAAAAACAAACCAAAAAAGCATTGCTCAATTTTGAGTTTGAAGGCTGGACCCCAAATGGCAAGTGGCATTCCCCCTGCAGAACAGGTCTCTCTCCCTAGTGGTGGGCTTCCTGGTGTTAGCTGTTGTTCTCAGCCGTGAGATACTTGAGGGCGGCAAAGCCGTAGCGGCGGGACATGTCCTGCTGAAATTCCTCCTTCAGGGTTTTGAGACAGATGCGGTATTGCTTGTTGGACCGGAACTTGGTGATGTCGAAGCTGGGGGCATGAGGCATGTGGATCATGTAGGCATTGGGCAGCACGATGAATTCATATTCCTGGAAGACAAGAGCAGCGTGAGCACTTGCAAGGACCCCCGGGAATGTATGACCGATGCCCAAGCGCATGACCAAATGACCAAGTGAATGAATGAAGAGGGGAACGACATCAGCAAGGAGGGGGGCAATGGAAAGAGAGCCATGTTGGAGAGGGACGGCGCAGGGCTGTTTCCATGACTCCGGACAAATTACTGGGATTCTCTATGCCTTAGTTTTCTCATCTATAGAGTAAACATAGTAACACCTACCTTGAAAGATGACCAATCAGGGATGGATAGTGCTGGGCAGAGCTCATGGCCTGTGAAAGGTTCTTGGTAAATGTGAGCACGTACCCATATGGTTGCTCTAGAATGACACAAGCCATCAGAGATGCTCTTGCTCAATGAAATGATGTCTGTTTCTGTGATTTCTCATAGGGCTTGATGAGATTTAACAGCCTCAACAGATTAGTACGCAAGAGGGGATAAAAAAAGAATGAAAAAAAAAAAATAGATCCCACTGGATGGAAGCTCATTAAGAACAAACCCTAAGAGACTTAATCATAGGAAACAAACTGCGGGCTGCTGGAGGGAAGGGGGGTGGGGGGATGGGATAACTGAGTGATGGACATTAAGGAGAGCATGTGATGTAATGAACACTGGGTGTTATATAAGACTGATGAATCCCTGGCCTCTACCTCTGAAACCAATAATACATTATATGTTAATTAACTGAATTTAAATTTTAAAAATATTTTAAAAAAGAATTACTAATGGGTGTTCTTGAACAAAATAAAAACTAATGCAAAAAAAAAAAGAACAAAGCTCTTGTCTACTCATCCTTATTATAAGTCACACCGCCATACAGTAGCCTCCACTTGGCAGAATACAGATAGGAACTCAGACCAAAAATAAAATGCCTCCAAATAGCCAAAATAGGTGACACAAATTTAGGGCACGGAACTCCAAGGAGAACCCAGCACACCTTCACTCGGACCCCGTGTTCTCTGATTTTGGACATAATGTCTGATGAGCTTTGGTTATCTAGTTCCCCAGCCCAGAGCAGATCAGAAGAAACTCTGAAAGGGAAAATTGGAATGGGGAAAGGTAGCTGTTACAGATGGAGGAACACTGACGCAGCAAGAAAGGACAGTTGATGGTGAGGAGGAATACAAATAATCCGGAGAAGAAAATGCAAGAGCCCCCAGAGCTTAGCTGTTTGGGACTTTCCTGTGAGGACAAAGAACCTGACCAATCCCACTAGTCCTCTGGGTGTGGCCATTACCTGTCAGGTATGTACTCATTATGTCCGAAAATCACCGGAAAGGGTAGAGTTATATCTGGTTGTGTTACCGGCAAAGAAAGAAAGATAACCAAGAAATTTGCAAGAGTTCTGTCAAAATTGCCTAAAATATACAAAGCCCGCATCTCAGGGCTGTAAAAATTAACTTTATTTGAACCAGTTCACCTCACCACACTGCTGGACACATATGACATTTCTTTTCCTTCAAGCAGAAGCTGGGGCAGGCTGAACACTTCGCTCTGTGAGCAGCAGTGTACTACCTCCAGGTATTATTAAAAAAATGGACATTAAAGGTCGTGCTTCTATTGTTAAATATGGACACTATTCTACAACCTTCCAACTACACCAGTGGTTTGCAACCCTAGATCCTTACTAAAATCATGTGGGACTGGGTTCCTGGGTGGCTCAGTCAGTTAAGCATCTGCCTTTGGCTCAGATCATGATCCTGGGGTCCTGGGATCGAGTCCTGCATAGGGCTCCTTGCTCAGCAGGGAGTCTGCTTCTCTCTCTGCCCTTCACTCCAGCTCGTGCTCTCTCTCTCAAAAATAAATAAATAAAATCTTAAAAAAAAAAAAATCACTCGGGACCGCTCTCAAACACACTGGAACTGTTGGAAAGTTCTCCAGGTGATTCTCAGGGCAGCCAGCACTGAGCATCCTACCTTCCTTTTTTTTTTTGAATTTGAAGTGCTCCTGTTGAGAAATATTTATGCTGTGCTCCATGAGAAGCCTTGGAGAATAGCACACAAACGGAAAAAAGGTGGGGCTGAGAGGCCCAGGCATCCTTCTCCTAACTTACCCAGAGTAGCTTAGCTTTGCTTTTGTTTATTTAACGCTGGGGTTGATGAACTCAGCATGTCTGGCTCGCTGCATTGTTTTTATAAATAAAGTTTTATTGGAACACAGCCACACCCACGTTTAGATACTGTCTATAGGTGAACTACAACAGCAGAGTTGAGTAGTTGAAAAGGAGACCTGTCAGCCCCACGGAGCCCCCAAATCTACTATCCGGTCCTTGGCAGAAAAAGCTTGCAGACGCCTGTTGTAACCTGTTAGAATTCTGCTGAGTTCTTTTGAAGTAGGTGTTTAGTAAATATTAGTTGAATGACTGAAAGTGTTTCACAACGAAATACAGCCTGAAAATCATCACTTTTAGTTACAGGGCAGGATAAGGAGCTGCATCTCAGCCACATGCCTTCTTGCGTCCCTTATATGGAACTTGGAGAATGCTGTGTGCCAGTTATATGGCTCAAAGGCCAAGTGATGGTGTTTTGTCCTCATCATTAAATTGGGTGAGGGTGGGGAGTGAAATGTTTTGTCATAGGACACTCACACTTGCCTGGGTCCTGGCTGGGAATCCAACTCTCACCCAAAGGTGTAGAGAAGGAGGAATGGTTTGGGAATCAGTGGCCATGAGAATTAGCATTGCCACGTTCTCACTTCCGGTCCCTGATCCCATCTCATTCCCTCTCAGGGCTCTGTTTTCTGACCTCCAAGGTCCCCCTTCAGCCCTGAAGCCGACGCTTTCTCCCCCCATGGCGCCAACTACACAACACCTCACCATCTCACCTGTGCATCCAATTCCATGATATGAGCCACCTTGTTCCAGCCAAAGCCCACAAACCTCCGGTCGTACTCAGGGCAGTCCCTTCTCACGACAACGTACGGCTCGAAATCGGCCTCCCACTCAACACGGTAAGGCGTGGTGGCAGTCCGCCACTTGGCAAAGTTTGTGGGAGCGTGGCCTTTTGTCCAGACGTGGTACCTAGGTCACATGGAGAAAAGCCGTTGGGTGAAAGGAAGCTGAGCTTCCCCAACACTTCTGGTTCAGAGGAAGAAAAGGTGTACGTGGATACAGTCCTTGTTGTGGGTTGCACCATGTCCCCCCCAAAAGATAGGTTCAAGTCCTAATCCCCAGTATGTGTGGATGTGACCGATTTGGAAAGAGGGTCTTTGCAGATGTATCAAGATGAGGTCATGGTGGATTAGGGTGGGCTCTAATCCAACCACTGGTGTCTTTCTAAGAAGGAAATGTGGATACTGAGACACACACTGGGAGGATGCCATGGGAAGGTGGAGGCAGAGATTGAAGTGAGCCAAGGAACGCCAAGGATGGTCAGCATCCACCAGAAGCTGGAGAGGGGCAAGGAAGGATTCTTCCCTAGAGCCTTCAGAGGAAGAATGAACCTGCCAACACCTTGATTTTGGATTTCTGGCTTCCGCAACTATGAGAGAATAAAGTTCCATTGTGTTGAGCTACCCAGTTTGTAGTATTTTGTTACGGCAGTCCTAGGAAACTAATCCAGTCCGTTATCTACATCCTTCATTAACGAGGAGACTCTCACAATGAAAGGGTAAGTGAACTCCTGGAGGGCTCTGTATCGTTTACATGGACCTAACTGTAGGTCAGTCTGTGCTGGTTATTCTGACCAGCGAACACGGTGACCTAGCCCTTGTACCATGTCCTCCCCCTTGAGGCAGGACCCGTGGCTGCACCACTCCCATGATTATGTCACATCATCTGGCAAAAGGGATCCCTGTAGATGTAACTAAGGTTACTAATCAGTTGACTTTGGGTTAGATAAAGGGGAATTACTGGGGGTGGGGGAAGGGTGGGCCTGGCCGAATCATGAGAACTTTTAGATCTGGGTTTGGAAGAGAGCCACGTGTGAGCTACCTGTGGGAGCCTCGTGGCAAGGAGTCAGCAGGGAAATGGTGACCATAGTCCTCCACGTGCAAGGAAAGGAAGGCAGGGAGCCTAGAGGAGTGCAGCACACTCTGGAGGGGAACTGGAGCCTTGCCCCCACCTTGATTTCAGCCCAGGGAGGCCCTAAGTGAGAATCCAGCCATCCCATGCCCAGATCTCTGACCCTCGGGGACCGTGAGATAATAAATTTGTCTTGTTTAAAGCTTCTAAATTTGTGGCAATTCGTTATATAGCAATAGAAAATGAATACAACCATACAACAATAATCATAATAAGCTAACATTTATTAAGCACTTACTATATACTGGGTATATTGTAAATATCATATCTATAGCTTTAAATTCTTATAACTTATTCAATATCAAGTTACAAATTATGAGGATGGAGCTGGGATTCAAACCCAGACAGCCTGACTCAAAAGCCAGGATCCTGGACCACTATGCTGGGTGATCTCTCTTCTGCGTCCCCGTCACCCACACTCTCTGGCCTCTACAGAGCAGAGAGTCAGTGATCGGGCACTAAGTTGAATAGATTAATGAACAAGTAATCTCAAAACCTGACGGGTACCTACGAGAGAGGGCAGGTAGTGGGGCAGGAATCTGCCTCTGGAAGCTACAAAGAGGTGGCAGGAGCCTGGGAGCCGCGTGAAACAGCAGACTTGGCCCAAGAGCAAGGATCCCACCTTGCTCTTAGGGAAAAATAACATTGTAGAAAAAGATAATATGAAAGGTGGGACCGCAACAACTTAGGGAGCTTCAGGGAGAAAGGAGCTCACGGCCCGGGGTCCCACCTCCACTCAGGGAGGCTCTAAAGCACGTGAGGGTTGAGTGAGAGCCGGCGGTCAGTGTGGCAGGTGGCGCTCTTCTCGTAGGGGACGCGGCCACTTGCTCCCTCTGCGCCCTCACCCCGCACCCCCCCTCCCCGAGGCTGGACCTCCCTGGGACCCTCGTGAACCGCCCAGTGAGGCTGAATGGGCACTGGCCAATGGCCAGGCTGGCCGAGGGCAGGGACCTGAATCCCCAGCTCCACGGATTCAGCAAGTGCCACCAAAACCACGGTCACACGATCCGAAGGAACACAAGAGGCTGAGTAACACCGAGGGCGTGGAGTGTGAGGAAGAGGGATACTGCAAGGTGTCAGGATCAAGCCAAGAAGCAGGCCGGGGAGTTGATTTTCCATTCGTGAGCTAGCTCGCCAGGTGGTCCCGACACCTGCCGCTTGCACAGAGCGGCCCAGCACCACCGGCGGCCGGGCACACACACTGGCTCAAGCTCGGCACAGCGGGGCCGCCGAACCGGGGTTCGAAACCCGCCTCGGTCGCTTAGGAGCGGAGGCCCTCGGTCAGCAGAGCATTTAAACTAGCCTTTACTTCCGCCTTGTGTCCCCTGGGGAGAAGAGCACCTATCTTGTCGAATGGCTGGGGAACTTAAATGAGGAAATGTTTATAAGGCGCTTGGCACAGCTGGCATACAGTAGGCGCTCAATAATGCTCCTTCCCTAAGAGGCAGTTTAACAAGGCGGCTAAAAACAATGGCTCCAGAGCCAGCCTGTCTGGGTTGGAATTCTGTCACTCAGCAGGTGTAGAAAATGTACCTAATTCCTCTGTTCCTTCGTTTCCTTCTCTAGGTAAAATTATTAATGAATAATAATAATTATTCGTTTCTTTCTCTTGGTAAAACAGAGAGAATCATGCCCACATCACGGATTTATGACAGCGATGTGAATTCACATAAAGCACCCAGGGCAGCGTCTGATACACAGTAACGTTTCCTAAAGTGAAGATATGCTCATTACTCCCTCGTTTGCCCTAGATATGGTGTCAATTCACAGGGCTCTTACTCTCCGTGATGTCAACGTATCACAGCCGTCTTACTTAGAATACAAACCCTTGGCCTGCTGTGTGGGAAAGAGGAAGAGCGGGGAGGGCAGCTGGGTCAGTCCTGTCCCCCTGGGTGGGGGGCAGCTTCCGTGAGCTCGGCCGGAAGACAGACAAGCGGTGCCGCGCAGCTGGTCAGCACAGAACACAGTGACATGACAGTTCACCTGCCACAAGAGCACGCGAGCGCCTGACTCCGCCCCCCGGAACCCACCGTCCGTCCAGGGGACACTTGTTCTGACATTATCAACACCAGGCAGCCTCCAAAACAACAGAGACGAGAGAGGTTTCCTGGATATGGCACGTGGGATGCCACTCCGGAGAGATCTGGGGGCACCCTGCTTTGAGCAGTGGTTCTCAGACATGAGCTGCGGATCAGAATCACCTAGGAGACTACACTTTGACCAGTCACTGGGTTCCACCCCCAGAGTTTCTGATCCAGTACATCTGGAACGGGGCTTGAGACCTGACACGTCTACGTTCCCAGGGGATGCTGATGCTACTCGTCCAGGGACCCCGCTCTGAGAACCTAGAGCACCAGTAGGGGTGGGGAAGATTTCCCATTCCAGCTGCAGTGGGAGGGGGATCTCAGCTGCGAGGAGACCTGAGAGCTCATCGTTTGGAGGGGAAGGAAGGTGACAAAAGCAATTTCTCGGGGGGAAGGTCTGTAATTTAGCACTTGGCCTCATGGCTTGTGAGCTGTGGGCCAGAGCAGGAATCCTGGCAACGGCAGGCCAAACCCGGGCTCCCTTGCCCACAGACGTGGCCTTGAAATGTGTTCTCAAATCACTTGGGGATGGAGATGGAAGGAAAGAGGCCCTGGAAATCTGCCAGGCGTGGAGCCATCAGGCTATGGCGTCTGTGGGAGGCTCGGACGAAGATCTGGTCTCAGAGTCTCAATTTTTACCTGCACCTAACACGATTGGTAAGAACATTCAGGACTCAGTCCAATGGTATCTGAGTTAAACGCAAAGGCTCTGCAGCTCCTCGGACCTGGACTGAATCCAGGCTCTGCTGTGTACTGGTGGTGTGTCCTTGGGTAAGTTATTTGGCTTCTCAGAGCCTCAGTTTCTTTATCTGTAAAAGGGGGATGATAGTATCTGCTTCACAGATTTGTTGTGAGGATTATAAGAGCTGACAACAGTGCCTGGCACAAGTTACGTATTCAACAAATGGCAGTTGTTATTTCTTTCCAAGAAGAAAGAAGTCCGAGTTTGGGGGGGGCGGTGGTTATTAAACCACTTCAGGTCACTTTCCAGAATTCTGGATAGAGGAAGAAGGCTGGGGTTCGAGTCCTGGCTCCAGCAGGACCCTCCACTCCTCAATTTATCTGCTTAAAATGTGAAAAAGGATCATCTCTGAATTGTTGAACGAATAACCGATCTCATAGTTATTTTCCCAAAATAAAGTTTGAGAAAACCTTCTAGAAACTTCTAGTCACTTAACGGTAGTACAGAAACCAAAGTTATTATTACAAGCTTTTCAATAAAATCCAGATTGCCTGGAAATGTATGATTTTTTTTTACTCAAACGCAGTGTTGGCCATTCTTCCATGGTTCAAAGTGGAGGCTTCTCTTTAAAATAGGAGCAGATGGGAGCAGAGGCTCCCTCTTCAGACCGCTCAGTCAAGAGATCGGGGAGGACCCCTACGTCCCCCAAGGGCACTAAATGCCACAGCCTGTTCCCGGGAGTCGGAACCCATTTGCACCTGCACCGTCGTACACACTCCCTGGGCATGTCGGACAGGGGGTGGGGTAGCTCCCCTGCGAGGCTCCCACAGGACTGGGGGGCGTGGAACATCGGGCAAGGGCGGGGCTTATTTAAAACTCTCACTTGGGCGACGGGAAAGTCAGCTGCCCCATCTGCCCTGTCCAACCCTGGAATCACCTAGCTGCCATTAGCTGATGAAGCTACAGACACCCATCCTAGGCCTGAGGACCACGCAGTATGGACCACTCCCCAAAAAAGGAAAAGGGGAACAGCAACCATGGTGCTGAACAGGATGGACCCACTGCCCAGATGAATGAAGGAGCAAGCAAACCAAAGAGAGAATTCCGACAGGAGATAGGATCAGGAACCCACACAGAAAGAGTAAGCTGACTTCCTACCTGACATCGTGGTCCTTCCATCTGGACACACGACGCCCACCACCCACGTACAAAGCAAAGCACACAGCATGTGGGAAGAGAGACTATTCCAAAGACGTAGTTGGGGGCCAGCGGTGCTTCTTCTGGCCTTAAGATGGTCTAAGGTAGCAGCGAACTTCTGGGCCAATAGCTCTGGTGTCTGGTTTCCGGGGACAGGAAGGCCTCGCACACCCCCGGGGGACGGCTCTGAGACTCCTCACCTGAATGTGAAGAGAGTCCCCATGTCCAGCATTGACAGCAACTCCGCTTTCGACTTGGGGAAAGACAGCCGGTAGCGCAGTGTCTCGAATGCAGGGACGATCATCGCCTTCTTGGTGTTGGCAAGGTCGAGCTGGATGACAGACTTCCTGAAAGGAGAGGGCAGGCAGAGACAGGGTCCCCGTGAGGCCAGGCAGAGGCCTTTCCCACCTGAGGGCAGGGAGGGGGCACAGGGGGCGGAGGACAGAAAGCCCAAGTCAAAATCTCAGTTTAAAGATGGGGAAACTGAGTCCCGGGGAGGCCAAGCAGCTTGTCCAATACCACTCAGGAGTCCAGAGAAGAAAGGCTGCCTCTGAGTCAAAAAATGGAGTCTCCCTGGAGAGTGAACCGAGGGCAGGCCGGACAGGAGGGGCTGGGAGACCCTCCCTCACTTTCACAGTGAGTGTCCCTGTCAGAGCCAAGCGCAGAAGGCAGGTCTCCAGGGACTCACAGGGGTTGGAGTCCAGCCTGCAGGGTCCACTGGGCTGGCTATCCACTCCTTCTGCACCACTGGCCACATGGGAGCGTCGGACAGCAAGTTGATGAGATGAGCCCCAACCTAGGCATTTCTGGGTCCCATCTCGTGGACTTCTCAACCTCTCGAATCCCCCAGACCCTGAGCCTTGACAGTCACCAGACCGGCCCCATGCCGCCAGCACCCAACACAACAGAGCTCGTATCCCACGTGAGAGGGTGGGACATTCTCCACGCGCTTCCTCACTCCCACCTTTGAGGCTGCCCTTCTGCTCTACTCCTCTGAGACCCAGCTCCTGCCCTTCTACATTTGTCGGCCACTGCCCAGCTCCGCGGCCATCATTCTGCAAGGGAGAAAGGCTTAGAGAGGGAACGCAGAGCAGGAGGCTTGTAGCGAACACAGACAGGGTTTGAATCCTGGCTCCGTCACTCGGTGAGTCTTGCCGTATCGGGCAAGTAATTTAGCTTCTTACTACCTCAGGTTCCTCCTTCCTAAAATGGGGCAATGCTATCTCCCTCCTGGAACTGTCGCGGAGGCTGAACGAGGTAACATAAATACAAATACCGTTTGGCACACCTGGTACGTGGCTGACCTGTATCAACATATGGTCACTGTTCTACCACAACACGGTCCTTATTCCCCGGCTTGATCTCCCAATGATCCCTTTTGGCCATGACTTTGGTACTTCATTCTGGCTTCCTGCTCAGACCACTGGCTCTTGGGACTCAGTGCCAGAGAAGGCTATTTGCTTATCATCTCTGAAGTAGAGAAAGCAGTCTTCCTTGGGGTAATCAAGGCATTGGGAGGCATTTTGCAAAATACTGGAAGAAGTAGCCTTCCATAGCAATGCGACTTACCGCTGTATGACTAAAGTCACTTCACTTTGAACTTGTGCATAAGCAGGGATGGGTCTGCAAAGGGGAGTCATGCTACCACAAAGGAAAACTGTGTTAGCCGAGGCCAGTGTGGGGCAAGAACAGAGCAGCCGTTTGAGAAGGACGAGGCAGGGTTTGGTATCCATGAGTGATGAGGTCAGAGGAAGGACTGGTGTCAGAAGCCAGCCCTGAGGAAGGGGTGAAGGGGTGAAGCGGTTGCATCAGCGCCCCCTAGAGAGGGCGTGGCTGAGATGGACCAGGTCATTTTAGAATTCTCTGAATAGCAGTTGTAATTCATTCTTTATAATTAGGCTTAACTATATACCAAATGCTATATGACCCTCATGTCACTATTTCTGGGGAGACTCGTAAAGAATGACACCAAGATAGAATCTGGGTGAGCTATATATAGCCAGTTGGAGGACGAGTAGCCTGAGTCAGCCTGCTTTGGTCTGCATTCCTCTCCTGCTTTGTCTCTCTGAACAATGACTTCCCAGTTTCCAAACATCCTAGATTCCCTCACCCATGGCCAAGTATTCCCTTCTCGATCAATCCTATATTAGACATAGGCAGAATGGGGGCTCGCCACCTTTCCTCCAGGAAAGCTAGATACCTTATCTATCGGTTCTGGGAATCGGGGATGGGACACACGGGTCTAGAAGATATCCTTGGACTCACCAGATGGCAAAGCCCCTGCAGCCACCAGGAAGGAGGGAGAGGAGAGGCACCCAGCACGGATGGGTGGTTGCTACTCATTCAACAATCCTTGAGCATACCTACTATGTCCCAGGCCCCATGCTAGGCACTTGCAGACACAGAGTGAACAGAACGGCCCAAGTCCTTCCTGCCTCGTATTTACATTCTTGTCGCAAACATCTCAGGATGCTAAAAGCCCAAGATTGCATTTGCAGCTACTTATGTTAAGATAATTGGGAAAAGCGTGGGAGGCTAGGAGCACTGAACCACAAAGGGATGGGCAAAGCGTGTACACACATCCACAACAGAGGTCTGTGGATGCACGTGTCTGCCTCTGTTACTATTATAATCACGGTTACAGTAGCCACTTCTTGGACTGCCCTGCTCAAAGATGATTCTCTTTCTCATGGTCCCTGCATGTAGGAGCAGCTCTGGGAACACAGGGCCAGGGCTGTGTTCATGGGTAGACGCTTGACTCAAGCTGAGCAAATCAGTTTCTCACTCCTGGAAATCTGAACAGAGATGCCGAGATTGGAAACCGAAGAGCCGACATGCGCTAACGTCAGGCAGTTCTCTAGAGGCTTTTGAACTTCGGCTGCAGAGAAGCCCAGAGCTGCCTGGGTTAATTATGGTCTCAAGTATCGGTTTTCCAAATTCTACTTTGGTGCCATAAGAAATACCACTCAAATGTTCTTTTTTTTTTCCTTTTGTTTTGTTTTCCTTTGATTTCTTTTCATTTCAATGAAGCTGCCTACCCTTGGTTTCTGTTGCTTGCAACCAAAGCACGCTGATACATTGCAAGTTCCAGAGTATGCAGACCCAGCAAGCAGCATGCCTTACAAAATGCAGCCCGAGAAAGTCTTATTTCTGTCTGCATAGAGAGCATCAGATCCTGGAGTGCCTTCTAAAACTCCCTTTAAGCTCACTGAAACACAAACTGCCATAAAGATGGATTTGTAACTAGATAGATCCATTTCAGATTCAGTCCAAAGAGGTTTGGATATTGATGTCCTGAATGGGTCTCATTATGAAGTTGTTTCAGCAATAAAGTGGTTTTAGGATACCGACTCTGAGCACATCTGCTCACTGAGCTGGGAATGATATAGCTTGGGCCCTTCCGCAAGGTTTCCTGTTGGTATATCCTTCCCTTGCTGGGGGTTTGCTGACCCCCTGGGGATGCACAATGTGCCTCCACCATTTATCTAGAAAGGGATTCCTGCAGGAGATAAGAGTGTTTCAAATGAGCAGAATCTTCCGGGGAGATTGGCTAGACTGGGAACCAAGAGATGTGAGTGCTGCAGCCAGCCCGGACGAGCTGAGTGACTCTGGGTCATGTCTCGCATCTTTTAGAATGTTAAATCTAGATTGACACTGAAGATTCTGGAAGGTAGCAATCAGACACACTTGGCTTCTAACTTGGACTCTACTGCTCCTCCTAGAAAGTCACTTGAACCATTCTGAGTCTCAGAGTTCATGCTCTTGTTAAATATTTTGGTGAGGAAAAGCACACGTGCACATGGGAGTCCTTGGTGCAATGCCCAGCGCGTATTAAGCACTGTGTGTATGGTGGTTAAGCCTGTGATGGTTGCTTTTATGTGTCAGCTTGGCTCGCCTAGGGTGCCGGCTGTTTGATCAAATGCTCATCGAAATGTCGCTGTGAAGATATTTTGTGGACATAATTAATGTTTACAAGCAGTGGACTTTAAAGAAAGGCCCTTGCCCTCAACAATGTGGGTGGGCCTCATCTAATCAGTCGAAGGATGTCAGCGCCAACACTGAGCTTCCCTAGGAAAGAAGAGATTCTGCCTCTGGACTGTCACTTCAAAATCCTGCCTGAGTTTCCAGCCTGCTGGCGTGTCTTATGGATTTCAGACTTGCCAGTCCTCACAGTGCCTTAAAAGAACTCTCCATCTTGCTGGTTCTACTTCTCCGAAGAATCCTGGTTGATGCACTGTCCTTGCTTCTCGCCCAAGACCCTTTCAAAAATATTCCCAAACCTACTACTAGATTTGTGGACTGAAGAACTCTTAAAAGAAGATTTCTACTGAAGTAGTTCAGAACCCTGCTGGTACAACAGAGAGCAAAGCAAATACACGTGACTTGGAGCCAGCTGGCCCCAGGTTCAAATTCTGCCTGCCACTCTCTTATGACCTTGGGCACGATATTCAACTTCTCATGGTCACAGGTTCCCTGGCTATAAAATGGAGATGATAACCCTTATCAATAAGGGTCGCTGAAAGGATGAAGCAAAACAGTCCCCCTAGGGCCTGACCCGTGCCTGACTTAAAGTAACTGATAACAAAGGAGCCCACTTCCCCTTTCTGGCTCGGCTTACCGGTGGGCCTCCTGCCGGAGATGGGTGAGTGTGGACGAGTCAGGAAAGGCAACAGACTCTTGCAACCAGGGCAGGATTTTGTTGCCAACCTGCTTATCTATGGAAACAGAATATATTAGATCTCAGTCTCCAGCCAGCTCTCTGTATCCTTCTGTCAGAAACTATTCAGGTGTTCCTGGCAGAGTAAGTTTGGCCCCTCTGATCTGGTGGAGCTGGAGGTGACTGGGGGCTGGCTGGGGGCGGGGGGGACTGAACACTGGGCAGCGTCTGTCTTCAAGCCCCCCAGGCCTCACGCACATCTTCCCTCAGCATCTCCCCTCCACTTACTCAAGTATGCAAATAGCTCACAGCCTGTTTGGCTCCCACCTGGGAAAAGTGGCGAGCAGGGGGGAGAACGTGAGTGGGTAGTGAGGATTCCTATACCGACTGAGGGGGTGGCCGGGGGCCGCCTGGAGGCTCGTACGGCTTAGCATTATGTCAGACACAGCACAAAGGGGACGCTGTGAGGAAGATGGGCTTCCTGGGGTTTAGAATGACCAAACCCTGCGACTGATCCTGGCAGTGGGTTGTGAGTGTGCACGCCCATACACACACATGCGCGCGCGCACACACACACTCATACCCCTCCCTCCATCTCTCTCCTTCTCATGCCATCCTCGAGACGGGTCTCTGTCACCAGGGAAACAGCCCAGGAGCCCAGCATGAAGAGATTTCGGAAAAGCATCTCAG